TAAGAATGGTTCTATAAGATCATTATTCTTTCTTAATTCAGGTTACATTCCCAAGCGGTCGTTGTTAGAGTGTAGGGGAGCCGGTACTCTTATTACATGGGACGTACATCCTAGGGATCTATGGTTGGCCTCAAGATGACATGATTGTTGATTTCTTACCTCATCTTACTTAGGTATTAAAGGACCAAAGTACCCTCAACAATGACGAGCCTTATAAAAAAAGAGAAACCGTATACATCGTTTAAACAGTACACCATCAATCACCGTCCATTTACACGGTTTCTATACAGCCAGCCCGCATAGTGTAGAAATGCGGGCTTGGCAATAAATATATTTTTTAAATATGACTTGATATTAAATTTTAGAGAATATGTAACCTTTAACATAGAGATAATGAATATAAAAAATAAAAAATAAAAAATAAAAATAATAATTATATTAGAAAAACATTTGGATCATTTGCTACACTTGGTTTTAGATGAACCACCTACTTGCATCCATCTTTAAGATGGATGCTTTATACCTATGGACCGCATATTGTAGAAAAGCGTCCAGCCCGGATGAAGCAATTTTCCAAACTACAAATCATCTCCAATGTCCCATGAGATTGAAGGGTAGCTCCCACACCATGATGTTACCTTCCAAAGAATAACACGGTGGTAACTTAGGGCATTAAAATTTAAAAGTTCGATAATTTCAAATGTTCCTCTACATTTGAAATCACGTGGTAGAATATGTATCATTCTATAGAAAGTCAAAAGTAAAATTTATCAATTACCGCGACACTCTTGAATATGTCCAATTTCAAATACGTGATAAAGAGTGATTTTGACCTCTTGTAATAGCAGTAACTAAAAGATATTATATTGCTTCAAGAGTATACCGTTTATTTACTCTTGAGGAAAATCCTATCTAATACTAGGTATTAGGACTCCAAAATATGGGGATATAACCGCTTTAATATATATATTCACCTCACTAAAAATAATTTCTTAATTGTACCCCTTTAAGCACTTAAAAAAATAATGTCTCAAGTTTTAATCGAAATCATCTAATTTTTTGAGGGTGAAATCTAAGTGCTGGAATACTAATTTTTGAAAAAAATAAAATAAAATAATCATCAAAGCAGTTGCCAAAGTTTTAGATTGAAAAAATCCTCCAAAGTGGGTCATCTGACAGTGGGAGTAGAAGTAAACTATGCTCTTGAAGGAGCATAATAGATGTGCTCATAAAAGTGAATGGTCGTGTATAGGTTATGATTTGCATAAGTTTACCACTTTAAACAATCAAAGTAGGATGCACCTCTAAACTCTTTCATAAGATGCAATTTTGATATTGAAAATTCTTAATATGGTACGAGAAAATTCAAAAAATGGACGGTCCATAAAATATATTGCAAGATGTACTATTTTTTGGAATCGAAATATCTTTTTTCTCTAAATCAATACATCTTAATTCGAGTTGATCAGTTAAATTCAAGTTGATCAATTAGACGTTGAAAAATTATTTATTTTTTTATTTGTAAAAAAAATAGATATTTTTTCAATATCAAAACAAAATTTTTTTTTTGAAGGATTTTCGAGGCACACCTTAATTCTACCTTTTAAGATATCTATCATTTCCCAAAAAAAAAAAAAAAGAAAAAAAAAAAAACTCTAGGGGTATTTTAGTCGAATGGACAAGAAATATTGGGAACTATACAAGTACAGAGACGCGGTAAAGTAATGACCAATAAAAGGATCAATATGCCCACGGAAAATGACAAAAACCAAACAAGGGTATTTTGGACATTTAATGAATGACACGAAATGGATCTTTAATTAAGTAATTTTCCTTCCGGAGTAAGAAAGTGTGATTAAGGATATTCTCGTAATCTTTTAGAGCGAGAATCATATCTGAGAGGGTTGGTTTGACCGCTGGCCAGTGAGCCAACGGTCCGGGCTCAGATTCCGTTACGTCAGTCATCAACCGAGCTGCGCCAAAAAAAAAACCCACTGCCACAAAAAAATATAACATTTAAAAACAATAATAACGCAAAGAAGGAAACGGAAGAAATAAACAAACAATAAACAGGAACAAACCAGGACTTTGGTATTTAGTCCGTTCGCGGAAAATCAGGGAAACTCTCGTCACTGTTCCCTCACGAGAACTAGAGAGAGACAGAAGTGCTGTTTCTAGAGAGAGAAAACGTGTTCCCTTTGCTCCCTCGCAAGATATACTCTCGAGAGAAAGACATGGAGAGAGAACGTGGGAAATAAACAACATATAGAGCGAGAAATTTAGTAGGGAGAGAAATTTAGTAGAGAGAGAAAAAGGAGGAAAATCCTGCATACTGTAATGTCCCCTTAGAGAAATCAAGGTGATGACACACAAGTTAAATATTTACCCAAAAAAGGACACATAAGTTAAATGTCATGGGGGACCATTAAATTAAGATCAGAAGATAATGTAAATAAAGGAGAGAGAGAATTTAAGCGTCTATCTGATTTGTGCCAAAAATAATGGGGTTATTTGCCCCGTTCTAAAAAAAGCCGTCTTTTAAAAAATCTGCCGATTAACACGGACCATCCCGATCTTGATCCGGTCAGATTCCAACAGTCATGTATACATTAATTTTTGTTTTCAGTACACTAATCGAACTGATCGGCCCATTAGTGCACTAATTGACGATTTGTTTTAAAAATCGGCCGGTCAATGCATTGTCATGTCAAGAGTTTTGCAAAAATTGTCCTTATAACATTTATATATATATATATATATATATATATATATTTTTTTTTTTTTTTCTTTGCCCTATATTTCTATGGAGACAGTTTCTATGCGGCCAGCCCGCATATTATAGAAATGGAGGCTTGCCAATAAATATATTTTTAAATATAATTTGATCCGAATTTTGGATAATATATAATCTTTAACATGGAGATCATGAATATGAAAAAAATAAAATAATTTGAAAACTAGAAATAACATTTGGACCGTTATTTACACTTGTTTTTAGATGGACTACCTATTTGCATTCATCTTTAAGATGGATGCTTTATACCTCTGGACCGCATATTTTAGAAATACAGTCTGACTCGCAGGAAACAGTTTTTTTTATTCTATTTCTTTACTTAAAATATTATATATTATTACAAAATTTTTATTTGCTAACTGTTTAGTTTGCCGCCTTGGGCGACTAGACTCAAAGCACCAAAGTTTGTCAGGCCCGACAGGTTGCCAAGCCCATAGGTCCGTCAACTAGGGTGGAACTAAAATTTCTTCGTTGTTCATCTGATTTGATCTTCAATCTAATACCTACACTACGAACCCCCGAGGGACACATAGACATAGATACGAAAGAGAGATAGAAATTTATCAAAATTGTCATAAAGATACAAACAATTTTGTATTTTACCTACATTTTTATTTGAATTCCAAAATACCCAAAAAATAACATGGTCTTGAGTTGAAAACTTGAAATATTATAATACTATATTATATTGTATATATATTATATATTTATATTTATTTTATTAATATAATTTATATTATATAGTATATGTTGATTACATATTACATAAAATATATAATATTAATATATATATATTGACCATTGAAAAAGTATGCTTAAATAGTTATTTTTTTGCTTTTTTTATGTGACAATATAAAAAAACAATACATGTAAATTTTAATTTTTTTTTGAGATTTTTTGAGGTTTTGTGATTTTTTAATCAAAATTACTGTTTTTTAAAAAATAGCTGCACTAATCGGCCGTTCTAATCAAAATAAGTGGGACTAATCGGCTCAGGGCATGACCGGCTAGTCGGCCCCATCGGTTGATTTGAACACTGAAAAAGAGAAGATGACGGTGCGAAGGATATGTGTGTAATTTCCACCTTGTGCCGGCAATTCGGACAAAATAAGATATATCGAGCCCATAGATATCGATATTCTATTTTGCTATTTTCTCTCTTCAATAAATCTCTTTGAGCTAACCACCATAAATAATTACCCTTATAAAGGAAACAAGAGAGGCCTAGTTTTTTTGCACGGGAGGTTTAGAGAGAGACTATGTATTTGTATGTGTGTATACAGCCAATAGAAATGAGCAGTGCTTTGAAAAAAGTAGGGTGGGAACGGAATTCCCATGTCCAACTCGAGGATTCGTTATCCGTATATATAGAAAAAAAAAACAGAGTCGAGAAAGAAACCGATGGTTCTGCATAGTAAAACAATGATTTTTTATAATATAATGATGATCCCAACAGCTAATTCACTAATCTAAATTGTTTTTTGGCTGATTCTCTATGTTTTTTGCATAATAAAATGGTAATCCAGATCACCTATTCACTGATCGGGACCGAATTTTGAGGTGTCCAATCCGGTTCACGGATCTATTTTTTAAATCATTGGAAATATATTGGTGGGTGAGGAGAGAGACAAGATTTGATGGGCATGGATGTTTATGTTATAATGGGCTCTAATTAGATCGTGGTCTAAAAAAAGTTTATACTATGTAGTACGTGCGGTTGGATGTGCGAGAGTTAGAGAGAGAGAGAGAGAGAGATGGTTTTTACTTTATGAGGTATTTAAGGAAATTGAAATTGCTTAGGTGTGGTCGTATCATGGCTCCTTCCGGGTGCTGTTCCCCCTTTTACATTCTCTCTCTAACTTTCTCTCTCTATCTTTCAACAACCACTCCCACCCCAGAATTTGGTTGCCTGCCCACCGCTTTCCCCTATTTACCCCCCAACAAACGCCCGCCCCCATCACCTCCCACCACCCCAACCCCAACCCCAACCCCTTCCCCAGACCGCCACCCACATTCAAATAACAATGACACGCTCACATTGACCCTCACATCACTCTCTTTATCTCTCTAAAACCTATTCTCTCTCCCTCTCTCTCTAAAACCCCAACCCGACCCCACGCTGCAATCTTCCCCAAATCTTTTAAGTGGAAACCCAATTCCAAGCCGCCTCTCTTTCCTCACCCCTCCCTTCCCCCCCCCCCCCCCCCCTCTCTCTCTCTAAACCTCCCTTCTCTCTCTCTATGGCCAGAGCCTGTCTTCACCCCCAAATTGGGGTTTCAGTCCCTTGCAGTGCATATTCCCCAGTATGAAGAAGAAAGCTTAATCCTCCATAAAGCTCAGTACCCTCATCATTTACTGCACTTCCACTTCTGGAACTATTAACCCCCCTCTTTATCTCTCTAAAATCTCTCCCCATTCACTGTTTTTTGCTCTTTAGGGTTAATTGCGGGTCGGGCAACACGCTGGCCATGGACAACTCCTGCAACAGCGGCAGCCTGCAGTCCTCGAGCGCTGACGAAGATTACGCCCCCTCCAATCCCAACACCGCCTCCTCCTCTCTCTCTAACCAAGTTTCCCTCTCTAACCAAGTTTCTCTCTCTACCTCCTCCCACTCCCTCTTCGACTCTCTCTCTTACTTCGAATCCTTCTCCAGACCCACCCAAGAGAACCCAAACCCCAACCCTTCGAACCCAGTTCTCAATTTTGAAGCCCCGTGGTCCAGGACCATGAATCCTAGATCGAACCCTCTGAACCCAACGCCTTTGCCCTATCTAGACGACATGGCGGCAACACATCAAGGTGGCGGAGCTATGGCTCAAACCAGTGGCTTTACGGCTACCCAGATACCGGTAAAAAGCGGGGGTAAGAAGCGGTCTAGAGCATCGAGAAGAGCCCCAACCACTGTTTTGACCACTGATACTACGAATTTTAGGGCCATGGTTCAAGAATTCACAGGGATTCCTAACCCCCCATTTTCGTCATCGCCATTTCAGAGGGCCTCCACTCGCTTTGATTTTATAGGAGGAGGCGGTGGTTCTCGATCTGAGCCGGCTCCACCCTTTTTGTTACGCCCTTTCCCCCAAAAACCATCGCCTCCTCTCTCCTCTTCAAATTCCATTTCTGGTTCTTCTTCTTTGAATATCGTTAGCTCGAATGCCGATATAGTAATGCCCAATTATTTAGCCGCCTCTTCGTCTTCTCAGAACGTACCGGTTCCCCAACTACCTATACAAATGCAAGGGCCCCCCAGTTTCGTGAATTTTCATCCGGTTTTGAGCCATAACGCAAAGTTTATGAGCCCCATGGCTCCGATGCCTGGTTTTCTGGCTGGAAAAGGTCAGATTCCGGCTGATTCTCGTCTGAAAAGTGGGGTTTTGGAGGGCTTTGGTTCGGATTCCGGCCAAATTGGCGGAGCTAGCGGGCATGGCCACGGCCAAACTGGGGGACCGAGGCCTGATTTTGTATCAGGAGGGGGTGGATCGAGAGGCGGAGATCTGGGTTATGGTGGTGACGAAGAGGAAGAGGGATTTATGAGGAGCTCTTCTTCTTCAGTGGCGGCTAATAACTATTTCGGAAACCAGAGAAACAGTAGCTGTAAGCTTAACTATTCGGTGTCTTCGAGCTCGGATTTTCACGTGGAGAAGGGGTCAGAGAATGTAGGGAGAGGAGAGGGAATGGTGGATTCCTGGATTTGTTCCTCTGATTAGAGAGAGATCAAAACACCCAGGTATGTAGCTAATATGCGTGCACCCCTTGTAAATACCGCCTCTCTCTCGCTCTCTAGCTTCTTTCGCTCTCTAAGTTTCTCTTTCTTAGGTTTTGTTTATTGTTTTGATTTTACTCTCTGATCGTATACATACATGGGGCTGGACACTGGCATGGCGATCCTTTTTATTGATTGTAAGCTATGGGAGCACGATGCGTGAGTTAGGGTTATCGTATTGATATGGTAAACCACTAATCCATGCATATGTTTCTTTTCCTTTAGGTTTTTTTGAAATCTCAGTGAATCCCCAAAGCTTTCATCTTTGCATATGCAATGGAGAGTTGCACTTGATGCCCCTTATTTCATAATTTATCTTTATCTTTTATCATATTATCATTCTCACTAAGTCACTCTGTAGTATTACCTCTCTCTCTCTCGTTCTCTCTCTCGTTCTCTCTCTGTCACTGTGTGGTATTGCTTCTCTCTCTATATCTCCTTGGCCTCTGTTGTAATACTCTCTCTCTCTCTCGCTCCATGTCACTCTGTTGTAATACTCTCTCTTTCTCTCTCTTACTCTCTCTCTCTTCTCTCTATGGTATAACAGACATAAGGGCCATAACCAACTGCTTACCAAGTTTTTTCGAATCCAATTCCTTATCGTAGTGTTTCTCGTGCAAGTCCCCCACCTCCTGCTCTCTCTCTTTCTCTCTCTCTTTCTCTCTCTCTCTCTCTCATTCACTCTCTCAGTTCTTGCACAATTGTTCTAACAGTTCCAAAATTAATAAACTGCAAATCACCACTATCATAGTAGAATACAGCTATCATTGCTGTCTAAAGGTTCGATCTTTACATCAATTACCCATCTCAGAGCCTCATATTTTGCCCCATGATCATTGCTATATTTCTCCATCTCGCTGCCTATTATTTTCTAATCCCTCACTTCCCATTACGACCTTATAATTAACACTACTCTCTCTCTAAATTTTAAACCCCAATAGAGAGTGAAAGGGAGGTCATGAAGAGAGAGAAAAAGAGCCACATGAAGAGAGAGAGAGAGAGAGAGAATGATGGGGGTGTGATTCGAGCGAAGCCTGGTTCATCATGGGTGGGTGATGATGGTTGGGTTCAGGGCCTGTGCTGTGAAATATTGGGGTGAAGTGTAGGAGGTGACATGTGACTCTTTTTGCAATCATGGTGGCCCATGCCAGTGAATCGTCTGGTTTTTAGCAATGATGGCTGAGCCTCCTCATGTGAATGGGTTGGTGCCTGGGCTCGGCCTGGGCTCGAACCCACCTCTCCAAAACCGAGCCCCGTGGCTCGATCCCACCAGAAGGAAGAAGGGTCCCTTTTTCCATATCCCGGTGTGTGTAAAGGTCGCAGGCTTTCTATCATGAATCATGCGTACCAATGCTGCCCAAGATCACCAAGAGAAAAGATTTCTTTTTAGTATACTTCTGTTACTACTGTTCTTCTCAATTCTCATAAAGCCTTTCTCTCTCTTATTTTCTCGCTCTAGCCTCTCGCTTTCTCTCTCCTCTGAACATGCACGATATTAGACTTTTTAATATGGGGTGCTGGCCTACCGCGTTTCTTCAAAGGGGCAACTGATATTCCTTAGGGTTTGCTTATGTTTGACTTTAAAGTATGGTTAATACTCATGTCCTCTCTCTCTCTCTCTCTCATATCTCTAGTATCTCTGTGTGTACATAAATATGTAGAGAGAGAAAATTTAAATATGTAGAGAAAGTTAGAGAGAGAAAATTTGGGATGGGGCTTTGAAACTTAGTCCTAGGGATGCGGTTCAATGGACAAAAATTGCACATAAATTAATGTGTTTCTTTATGGTGTAAAGTGCATGGTTCATTTTATTTACATCAGTTTGCGTCAGCAGTGGTGATCGTTGGTCATAAAATTTGGGATTTTTTGGGGTTTGATTTGTTCAAACAAATGGGAAGGGGTAGGGGACGCAATAATCACGGGTTTATTATAAAGCATAGCATTATATGTTTGTGTCACTTTTTAATTAACATTGCATTTCTTTGGGTTGGTCATCGGTCTTCAAATTTTTATTGGGGTTCGTTGGGGATTTTAAGGTGCGGGTCCAAAGTTATTAATAATGGGTTGATTTCTTTGATAATCTGATTTTTAGTATTAGAGATTGGATTTGCGGTAAGCCTAGAGATTAATTGAATCATTTTGTGTGCTCGCATCGTGTTGAAGTTAACTTTGGTTTCACACTAATTAGGGTATGTTCACCTACTCTCTCTCTCTCTCTCTCTCTCTCTTTCTCTAGCTCGTTTTAGATTAAGGTTAGGGAATTAATTGACTAAACTAGTTAGTATTAACAGTTACCACTTGACAGTTCCCGCATCAGTGCTTTGGTTTCACACTACTAGTCTATGTTCACCTACTCTCTCACTCTCACTGTCACGCTTAAACGAAGGTGCGCGTACATCGGTGTCTTCTTTTCTTGTCTAGATACCAGTGTTCCAAAACTCATGCGAGTCCAGTCCAATTGGACTCGCCTGAGTTGCCATGACTCAATAAGGTGCCAAGTTTGAGTAGGAATTCACCGGACTTGGCCGATTTTTCTATTTTAGTATGATAACTTGTACCGACTTGACTCACTCAAAACTTGGGACCCTGTCATTTGTGACTCCGAATCGTCTTTGCGAATATTGGTGTACACACATTAAAGCGCCCTAATTAGATGGAGAAATATTTAGGCCAAGCTTTCATACCATTAGGTTGAGAGTGCATATATAGATGAATGAGTACGCAATATATACTATTCATGAAATATTATATTCTTAAATTGGATTAATAACTTGATGGCAATTGTTTGCTGATTAACACAACCATTACTTCATTTTCTGGGACTGCTTGGGAAGGATCCAAGAAAAGGAGGTCGGAAGTTGAACCAAATTTGTAAAAAGTATAAGCAAACAAACTTTTAATGAGTCGTAAAATAATTGCCATGAGTTGGTCGATTGAATGTCAAGGCAAATTTTTAATGGTAGTATAGTCCGATTTGAAATGCGGTTAACATCAACCCACTATAGTAGTAAATTACTATTTGTTTTCTAAAATGTTATTCTTGAAAAAAGTAAAAGGAGGGGAAGGGGTTGTTACTTAGGGAAGAAAAAACAATATTTATATTAATAAAAAGTTGTTTTTCTCTTGTGTGTTAATATCAATCAAGCTGTCCAATGAAATTATGCTAAACCCGTACAAGCTTTTAAATAAATTTAAAAAATGTTGGTTTTCATTCAAATACGTGGCTTACTTTATCCAAATTAGAATGTTTTTAATTTCCGATATTTTCCCAGAAAAGGAAAGATGTATTTATTCTTGTTTTCACTTGTTGTATTAATAAAGAATATTTGATACGATGGAAGACAAACGTACTGTATTTCCTTTTGTTTTATTGCGTGAAGTAATGGTTTACTAAGTTCTAAAAGGTTCTCGCGGGTTAATCATTTGTCTACTTGAGAAAAACTTTCAAATTTCAATTTTAGGGTATAAAGGAAATTTTTATATTGCTGTAATATTAGCTATTTTGTCTAGAGTGATTTAAAAATCCGATTGGTGATCCAGATCAAGCACCCGAAAAATCGATTCAAATCGGTGAATAGGTGGTTTGAATTGTCGTTTTATTATACGGAAAAAATAGTGAATCAGTAAAAAAAAACATGTAAAAAGAGTGAACCAGTTAAAAATCAGTCCGAATTGGTGAATCGGTGATCCGAATCACCGTTTTAATGTAGAGAATCGTTGTTTTACTGTTCAAAACTGTCGGTACAGTTCTAGCTTGAAAGTTTTTCTATATATCTCTAAACTGATTCCCATATCGAACCTTACGTTTTTTAACTCACTAGATGCAAACGGGTTTTTAACTCACTAAGTAAAGGCAAACGAATATTGGTTAAGTGACGTAGATTCATCTCCCCGTGCCCACGAGGTTCAAACCACCTTCTCACCAATAAAGAAAAAGACGGTTGTATTTGTGTCGACATCTTTGCTTCGCTGAATCTCTTTCAAATAGAGAGAGCTTTGCATTGAAGAATCTCTTTCAAAGCGAGACAGAGAGAGTTATCACGTTTGTAGTCGCATTCTAATGTCGTTCTTGCATTGTCACTTGCATGTCGGCATCCTAGGGTTCCACTGTATGCTTGGTCATGCACGACTTTCAAATAGGCAAGAGCATGGTCATGCACGACTTTCAAATAGGCAAGAGCAAGTTTAGAGCTAGAGAGATCATCAGGGGTATAGCCTTATAATCTCATCAAGGGTACGATATCTTAAATAGAGTATAATAGTAGATCAAAATTTGTGTAGTCGATCACGATTAATTGATAAAAAAATATTATGATGATGATGTCGGTATTTTTGGGTTCAACTGTATATTTGGTCATATACGACTCTCGTAATCTAGTGTGGGTCTAGAGAGAGAAATAGAGAGAGTCCACTATATGTGTTTGGTCATGCACGACTCTCACATAGGGAGGTGCCGGTCTAGAGAGAGAGAGAGAGAAATCAAAACACAATTATTGAGAAGCATGGCTGTCCTTATCAACGGAACAATGGAGTTAGCATGCCATCCCATTCTGATGATTTATAGAATGAGATGAAGATTGAGAAATGAAATGCTTGATTTGCTGAGTGAATTGCATCGAGAGAGGTGCCATTTCTCTATTAAACAACCCTCCAAAATGGCAAGTAGTAATCGAGACATGAGGACAAAGAATATCCGTGCGATCATAGTTTTATAACTTGGTGACAAGCCCCATTGCTTTCTTTTGTAGGGTTTCAAGTACCTTTGCCCTAATGCAATGATGCAACACATTTTCGAGGTTTTCGAGTACTTGCGGAGCTATGAGAGAGAGCAAAAGGCCAAACTTTTTATCAAAAAAAGAAAAATGAATAATAGCTTTGCCATTCCATTTACTTGTGTGAGACGGTTTTCTCAACCAATTTTTTTTTTTTTTGGGTAATTCAGTGATGAATACAGGCCCTAATCCTTTTTTTCAAAGGAAAGCTTATGTAAGCACGTGACTCTAAACAATCAAATTAAAACGCATTTCAAAAATTTCACTAGAAGAGGTTGTTTTTATGCTCAAACATCCGTAAATTGATCATCTCGACCTCAACATGCATGTAAATGCAAAAAAAATAGATTTCAAGTTTTGAAAATAGTGCATCTTGTAATATATTTTTAGACCGTCAATTTTAAAGATTCTCATAGATTTGCTCGATTTGCACTATTGTTGAAGTTTTAAATTTCATAATTAGAGATGAAAATATATTTTAACGCCATCATAAAGATTTCCATTATTGAAACCACATTTCTCAACACTATTTGAAG